CGGTGTCTTTTTCGGGGTTTCTTTGTTTCCACGGAACCGGAGGCTCGGCCGCGAACCGGTGGTCCGGTTAAACGGTCGAGACGGCCCGCGGATACTGCTCGCATTTTTACGAGCGGCTCCCTCATAAACACTCACTGAGTTACGGGTTGTTTGCCACGGCGAACGCCGGGGCTTTAGGGGCGATTTCCTCGGCGCTCGCCGCCCGCGTGCGAGTACACGGAATATTCCGCTACCCGGAACGAGGCATCACTTGTCCACGCGCGGAAACGATGTACCGCGCCGTGGGAGATCTGATTACCAGGGTTGCCTGTTTAGGGGTCGCTTTTTGCGAATGCCGTCAGTGGAATCTGGGTTTTAGAGGGCACTTCGGACGCTTCTTCATTTTGGCTTTCACCTTCCTCTGCTTCGACGAGTCTCACTCGTCGCTGCTATGTCGGAATCAGCGAGACCAGGGTATTCTAGGCTGGAATATCAGTGAGATGTTACAGTTACTGCTCGGATTTTGGAAATGATAGGGGTTAATCTTTTTGTTTTCTAATACATCTCATATCCGAATGAAGCACACAAACGGAAACATTGCAACGATCGCAGAACGCGTTCGCGCATCGACACTCGCTCCTGAGAACGTCCCTCGATCAGCGATCACGTAGTCGCAAACACCATCAGTCGAAGGGGTAAGCGTGGTAATTCGGGAAAGAGAGCAAGCGACGGGGTCGAGGGGGAGCTAACGAGCCGAAATGTTGTCGTCCGCACCGCGAGTAAAGTGGAAACCCGTGTACGTTAGATTGTCATCCCGAGTCAATCCTGATCAGCGGCCACCGTCTCGCTCCCGTCCGCCCTTTCTCGGCCTTCTCGCCGGGGCTTTGCCTCTCGATTGAAATCGATGGGGTTACGTGAGAATTCCGTGGACTTTCCCGGTCCGTGAGGCGTTTCCCCGGCGCCGATAACCGAGCCGCGGCCGGAGGAAAAATTCGCGAGCGCTCACGGAGCCGGCCGAGCGCTACCCGGTGCCCGGCCATTTTTCCAATTCCTCCGAGACCGTGTCCCGGCGTCCGCCCTTTCCTCCTTCCTCCGACGATCAGCAGTCCATTAAAGCTTAATAGCCGAAGCATTAGGCCCCAGGGCAGATTTTGTTCGAACGGAAGCGAGATAAATGTGTCTCTCAAACGCTCACGGTCCCCCGTGGCCCGGCGAAACCGATGTTCACGTCTGGCTTCGTTGGCTTGAGGTGACACGGTTTATTCCGATGGAGATCGATAATTTAGCGTTTCGACTCGGCGACCGGTGTGTTGCTTAAAAATTGATTGGCCGGCTGTGGAGTTCCGTTTAAGGCTTTCAACTATTCCATCCGGCTCATCGAGGAGTCTTCTCGTTTGCTAATACGATTTTCAAACTTCATACGAAATATAGAATCCTCTTGCTGAATCTTTGAATATCAATGAAAATCTTTCACAAAACTCGCCTTCAATGTAGAAGAGATATAGTCTGTACTAGATTTTTGAAAACATTCGTCGTAATTACCTTCCGCTGTTATAAATCCATGAAATAGCCTGTGTCATCGTAAGAATGTAACGTCACGGCGATCCGTACACGTTGGACATCGAGTCCGGTATCTCTAGGACTCCAACTTTCAGAATCTAATTTCCTCCGCGACGCAAGCCGGCAATCACAAGTCGCTCCGGGTCGAGCCGGGTCCCGACTCGCAGCATTTAAATTATCCGCGCACGAGCTGCGTCATTGCTCATATTCTTTTATGCGGAAATATTACGTTCATGGGACGGGGCAGCTCATTCGAATTATATTAAGCGGCGCTGCCGCTAATTCAGAACACGTTCAGCGGCGACGTACGCTGCGACAGCGAGCGGCGCATCCTCCTTCGTCGCGCTTCTTCGCGCCGAGCTAATGACGCGCGTCGGCCCGATCATCAATCACACTTTCATTACGCGGGGATCGCAGCTGCTCCGCATTGACTCCGCGTGGCCCGCGGCCTATTGTTATTATTCCCAGGTTCCGCGTGGCCCGTTGACGAGCTTGTTCTTGCTGCGTTGATAACGACGGGCCACAATCAGTGATTTCATGCGCGACTTCTGGTACCGCTGATGATTCACGAGTCGACGCCGCCTGATCGCTGATTCTTCTAACTGTGTCTGGCGTGCGAAATGTCGTTAATATTTTCGAGCTCGTTTCCTTCGTCCGAGTGGGCTCCGCGTTGAGAAAAAAGAGTTCACCGGTTGTAATTGAAAAGGCGGTTGTTACAGTCAGTCGGATCTTACGGTCGTTGCTTAGTAGTAGTTTCCGGTGTCGTTTTTCGTTGCAATCGCATATGGTTCTTCAGAGCTTGTTTATATTCGTAACGCAAATTCGAAGCAATAGCAGAATATCCTTTAACGGAATGAAGAAGCGAAACCGCAAAGAACTTTAACCCTTCGCACTCCGAGTTCCTTTCACTTCTCCATAATTCTGTATTACTTTAACGGCTTAAAACGTATTTCGAAAGACAATTAGTTAACAACAAACAATGTAAACAATTCTGTTTCCGCTACTATTAAAAATAGTATAACGTGATACAATTAGGAAATGTCTCGACAGAGGATACTTCCTAATAAGTCTACTCTCGAGTATTCGGCATAGTAGCGTAAAGGGTTAAAGTATCGTTCAATAGATTTCCTTTGCCTTAATGGTTGGTTATCGATTGTCAGCGGCAGAATGAAGGTGTGAATTCAACGAGTTTCGTTCTTAAAATATCATTATTTTACCTATTCAGCGGCGCGCGGATATAGAATCTCCCTGAATATTCGAATTTAACGATCGGCTCTCTTCCCTGAAAAACTGTTGCACGGGCTTCCGGATGATTAAGCGAATCGTCGCGGTGTTTATCCGTCAGGCGAAAATTAGTGTAAAATTAGCTGAA